CGCAGTCGAAACATTACTTCAGACTGGCACACCTTCAACGGTGCCCCTGACACATGTTGCTTTCCACTTTACATGACGTCCCTCTTCTCTAACTATCCCCCTCTGCCCCTCCTCCCCTTTCTTTCCCTTCCTCCTCCTCCTCTCCCTCCCCCTCTCCCCCTCTCTCTCCCTCCTCCTCTCTCCCTCTCCCCAACTCACCCACATATCCATGAATCAGGTTAAAATGTCAACATAGAGATCTCAAAGAATTGTAAAAAATGTAAATATTTGACAATTAACAAAATTTAGAAAATATACAAGCTTCGACCTTGTCTGTCAGGGACAGCCAGGGCTATGATGGATATGACACCCTAGCAGAAGGACCGAGATACTCAGGAATTGAACTCGGGCCTTCTGCATGAGACAGCAACGCGTTTAACCGGTTCATCACAGACGAAGGTTTCTAAAAAAATAAAATATAAAACCCACCCCACAAATTCTTCCATTGAGGGGTGACAGCTTTACAGAAACTGTAAGGGATTGCTTTTTGGCTTTGTTTTTTTCCCCCCCAGTTTGACGTATACCTGGAGGGCGAACAGGTCATTTCAGAATCATGTCTCCCCACCCCTCTTCCTCAAATACCCGCACCCCCCGCCCTCCTGCCCTCCGCCAACTCCACACATGCAAAGTCGTGGAACTACGAGGGTCTGTTACAGTTTTTTGCTTGCTGGGGGAGCAGGTGCCTGGTCGGGCTCCAGGCTTCAGGTAGACAGAAGACATGGGGAATACGGAGAAAAATATCTCCGACCTCCTTTTTTCCCCCTTTCCCACTGCTTCAGTTTTTGAGCAGGAGAGAATCCTGCTAATTATTGGCTCCTCACACTCTTGGCAAGACAGCTAGGTATTTATTATAGTATTTATAGCTCTTGGCCTGTTTTAAGTTATTAGCAAAGGTGACTGGTTGTTGTATTTGTAGAACTCTTGCGCCCCATCGACACAATTTAGAGCAAGAGGCGGGCTGCCCCAACAATGTCTGTCCCAGGGTGAAAGTACTTCGATATCCCAATCTCTTCTATTTTTTTTTTTTTAAAGTTGTGCCCATTTCGTTTTGGTTTCTTGTTTTGGGTCGCCCAGTGACATGTGTCCCAATTCAATAGCGCCTAGAAAAAACAGCGCTCGACAAAAAAGCTGGTTTGCACTACTCGATAAAAACGCTAGTGCAAAGGCGTCTGTCCTTACAGAAAACAAATACCCCCACCCCCCCAACGAACAAAAAAAAAAATCTACAAAAGAAACAAAAACAATAACAAAACATCAAAACAAAGAGCAACAAGCTTCCGCTCCCCCCCTCCTCCTATTTCTCATTCACTAACCCCTCCCTTCCTCCTCCTTTATCTCACTTTCCACCCGGATCACGTCTGGGTCTCCCGTGTGTCTCACCCTTCTCTCTTCCTTCTCCCCCTCCTCCTCCTCCTCCCTTTCGACCCCAACTCTTCCTCTTCCTCCCCTCCTCCCGACTCTCACTTTTCCTCCTGTCTCTCACTACTCCTCCTCCTCCTCCTTTCTCTCACTCTCCACCTTGATCACTTCTGGGCCTCGCGTGTGTTTCACCCTTCTCTCTTCCTCCTCCTCCTCTTCCTCCTCCTCCTCCCTTTCGACCTCAACTTTTCATCTTCCTCCCCTCCTCCTGACTCTCACTCTTCCTCATGTCTCTCACTACTCCTCCTCCTCCCCCTTTCTCTCACTCTCCACCTTAATCCCGTCTGGGCCTCGCGTGTGTTTCACCCTTCTCTCTTCCTCCTCCTCCTCTTCCTCCTCCTCCTCCCTTTCGACCTCAACTTTTCATCTTCCTCCCCTCCTCCTGACTCTCACTCTTCCTCATGTCTCTCACTACTCCTCCTCCTCCCCCTTTCTCTCACTCTCCACCTTAATCCCGTCTGGGCCTCGCGTGTGTTTCACCCTTCTCTCTTCCTCCTCCTCCTCTTCCTCCTCCTCCTCCCTTTCGACCTCAACTTTTCATCTTCCTCC